AGCTGCCGCATCGACCTGCACCGCCGCAACCCCTTTCCCGGCGGTGCCCTGGGCCCAGCTCTGCCCGACCTGGGCATTGACGTGACTGTGCGCACAGCCCAACCCCCGACCACCTCGCAAGCCTGCATCAAGGTGGGCGCTGCCCTTCGCCGAGCCGAAATGGAGAAGCGCGACTACTACACCGGTTTCAACCATGGAAAAACTCTGATCGTCCCTGCGGCGATGACGACAACCGGTGGGTTCGCCTCCTCCTTTGTGGATCTGCTTGGTCAGCTCGCCCGCTGCGCCGAGGCCCGTGGTGTGTACCAGCCGGGGCTGGATGAGGCCTTTGTTCCCCGGTGGAAGGGTCGCTTTGCGGCGCTGGTCCATCAGATGAACGCTGACCACATCCAGCGCCACTTTGGCGGTGTCTGCCTGCGCTCGTCGTAGGTAGGCACCGTCTCGGGGGTATTAGAGAGTGATGTCAGATTCTTGTATATATGCGACAATATGCATCACATCAACGTACTAGTTATACTGTTGATAGCCTAGTGGTTTAGGCGTCTGACTTTTGAGTCGCTCTCTCCCATGCTACAATCTATTATGCCTTTAATAGGTTATGGGCCTCGAACGCGCTACCACTTGTCAGTCTTGACTTGGGATTCGAACCCCGCATCAAGACTACTTGTGCAGACCTGAGCTCGAGTTGCGTAAGCGCTATTACATAGCCAGTACAACTCAAAGTCGCATAAGCGCTATTGCATAGCCAGCAGACTATAAAAAAGGGGGAGCCAAATATAAAATGAGCCAGGTGTAGCAGTTGCATACTTGAAAAAGCACTGCAGGTGTGTGTCGCGGAGCACACCGATCTTGAACGCCATCCTTGTAAGGATGATCCGCCAGAGGGCATGAAAGGATTGGGTCAACTTCATCGTGAGGGATGGACAACAGACCACTCGCACGTTGAGGGGGACTATTAGAGAGTGATGTCAGATTCTTGTATATATGCGACAATATGCATCACATCAACGTACTAGTTATACTGTTGATAGCCTAGTGGTTTAGGCGTCTGACTTTTGAGTCGCTCTCTCCCATGCTACAATCTATTATGCCTTTAATAGGGGGTCCCTCTGTGGGGATCCCTGTGTGCACCTGTCGCTCCCAGGGTGGTTCCTCGTTGTGATCTTTTCATGGCTTGACTTGTTTTTTTGTTTTAATTTTGCTTAATTTTTAATGTATTTGTGTGGTATTTTTGCTGAATTTTTGTAAGGTCCTTTGTATGATGTCTTTTCCTTCTGTGGTCGGTTGCCTTTACAACCCGACGCTGTCTCTTGTTGTATGTGAGCGTGCCGTGGTGTTCTTTGTGTTCGTGCTGTGATGGCTTATTTTTGTGATGTGTGACTGCCTTTTTGTGTGTCTAATGTTTGTAATGGCCGTATCTCTGGTTATACTTGGTAGTTTTGTACGATTTTTGTTTCTATGTGCGTGATTCTTCGCGCTTGTACCTCTTGGCATGATAGAAGCCAATGAATGTACCTTGTTCTCTTGTGTTATTTTGCGTGCCGTCGTTACTACTACTAATAATAAATTAGGTGTTTGAACCTCAGAGCTGAAAGCAAAGCTGTGCAACCCCGACATCAAAATCACGACGGCTACTACTACCACTACCATTATTGTTACCGACGACCTCGACGACGACACTGACCCTCTTCTCCTTGACCATCCTCATTTCAGCGCCAACATCACCACCACCGACAACTACAACAAGCTGCCTGCTACCGTCAAGGAAGCCATGCACAGTCCTGATGCTGACAGCTGGACCCGTGCCCTTGAGAAGGAGGCTGATTCCTTTCACGAGCACAACGTCATCCAAGGACTAGATCACCTTCCAGCTCACATCAAGCCCCTCGACCTTCGGGTTGTCTTTGCTCGCAAGCATGACGGCACCTTCAAGGCACGCATTGTGGCCAAAGGTTTCAAGCAGCTCTATGGCATCGACTACAACGAAACCTACTCGCCCACTGCCAATATGGTGACCATTCGTACCCTCATTGCTCTTGCTGTCGACTATGGCTTCATCATCCACCAGATGGATGTCAAGACTGCCTTTCTCAACGCTCCACTCGAGGAGGACATTTACATCACCGTGCCCAAAGGTCTCGAGCAGTACTTCAATGGCTACACTCATGGCAAGCTCAACCGCGCTGTCTATGGTCTCAAGCAAGCTTCACGTGCTTGGTACCAGATGCTCGACCACCAGCTGTGCACGGAGATGAAGTTTACTCGCTGCCTCAAGGACCGATGTGTTTATTTTCTCAACAATGGCCGCGATGCCATTTGGATCGCCGTCTATGTCGATGAC